TGATGCTCTGAAGACGCTTGTTGAGTCTAACCCACGGCAACACACTCGTGAAATGGCCCTGAAATTCCACGACTCTCATGAAACAATATGTAGACATCCAAGGAATATGGGAAAACTCCTTAAAGAAGGTGTTTGGGTGCCTCACGAACTCTACGATGATAATCGTTTCCAACGTGTGAACGTTGCTTCGTCTCTTCTGGCGCGTAAACAATTTTTGGACAGAATTGTCATCGGTGATGAAAAATGTATTCTCTATGCGAATATTAAACATAAAAAAACAATGGCTCAGTCCTAGACAAAAACCACTTCTGACCCCAAAACATGGACTTTATCCGCAGAAAGTGATGCTTTGAATTTGGTGGGACATCAAAGGAGTAATTCATTTCGAACTCCTCAATCCACAGCGAACTCTCAATGCAGAGATCTATAGTCAGCAACTGGAACGTTTAAATCAAGCCCTTAATCAGAAACGCCCTTCACTCGTCAATCGAAAAGGTGGTGTTATTTCCCACAACAATGCACGTCCATATGTGGCACATTTGACGCAACACAAGATTATAGAGTTGGGTTGGGAAGTTCTCCCCCACCCATCAGATTACCATCTTTTTCGTTCGCTGCAACACCATCTTAATGGGAGAATTTATGCAAATGTGGAAGGTGTTAAAGAGGACATCGATATGTTTTTTGTTTCAAAGCCAAGTGATTTCTTTAATCAGGGCATTAACAACCTTCTGTTTTCACAATAAGCACATCATCATCTTAGATAAACTGTTAAACAAGAGGATGTTAAAACTAAATGAGTACGTGTTCTTAGAGGCACAAATAATTGGTATGTAGCTTAAAACTTGCTCGCATAATGTCATTCGTTGCCATTTTAGATACTTTTAACTTGTGCAAGTCAATATATTTTTGGAGTCGTGACTGTTATGTGGAAAAGTTAAAAAGGTAACTTTAGTTACACAGTTTAATTATAAAAAAAAAAAAAAAAAAATAAGAAAATTTTACTATTGTTTTCTTCACCCACATCGACTTTAATCATTGAGTATTTGTTTTTAAATCCCCACTATACAAGTTACATTTAATGTTAGTAATTAATGTAATAATTTGTGATTTACTTTTTGAACTTGTATATTTTGTTCTTGTATATTCAGTTCATGACGAATTCTCGATTATTCCAAAGCGAATTATTCCGCGAATTGCTCTGGCTTGAGGATTATACAATTGTCCGTATAAATAATTGTTGAATACAACAAGAATAAAACACTCCAAACTATGTAGGGTTTAAACTCTCACAGCAGAGTGTTTTAGGACAACAACAGGCTTGTAAACTTCTTCTCAACTTTTAATCACACTTTAAAGTCGATGACTGTCTTCATGAGAAAGATGACCAAAGAAACCACAGTAATCACACTTGACCACATACTCCTCAATCTTCCAATGCAGCTCCAGTGAACGGCTTTGTCTTTGGTCTACTTAAACGTGGTTTGAAAATCGATGACCACGTATAGTGGAGGATCTGTGTGGGGTATTTGTTAACATCTGTGGTCTAAGATTGACCTAAAAATTATTCACAGAAGCTTCTTAAGGTGAAAGTTGAGGTGTCCAACAACACCACGTAATTAATCACGAGAATTGCAGGACCCGGAACATCATTTTTATAAAGTGCAATTATAAGCACGTTATCTAGCACTAATACGTTTATATGACTGATGGAGACTTTTATATGTATTGTAAAAAGCACTTACTATGTTTTCGTATACTTTTACAGAAACATGCTTCAATTTTCAACTTATAAAATCCAAAACCCCGCGGCGCATCGAAATATATGCATTTAGTAGTATTTAAAATAAACTGGGATTGGCGAAAATTTCTAAATATATTTCCAATATCTCGACATAAGATTAACTTTGCAAAACTGTTTAGAAATGTATGTAGCTTCGCGTTAATGACATAAATTTGTTAAGCTCTAACACTGTCTCTTTTGATCCCTTTAAAACACTTGCAGGACGTGAATGTCTCATATTACAGCTAATTAAATAATGTTTCATGGTTGATGGTAGAGAACATAACGCTCCGGTAACAGCAGTCAATACCCTGCTATAGCTTTGTTCAAAGTCCTCATAACGCCAGTTACCATCTCTGCGTGCGAGAATGGAAATGAAGAGACTAAAACTCTTGTGAATATGTCTGTTTTTGTTTAGTTGTTTCAAATATTCGCGCAAAAATACATAATGATTTTCTGTGCCTGTCGTCCCTAATTTTGAGCTGTATAACTTAGAGGGATGGCAACTAATCATCAGCACTCGCTTCCAACTCTCAATCTATTTTTTGTCTGACAGGATAGTGGGATTTGACCATCACTATTATAGTGCATGGTCTAGCGCTCTAACCAGTAGGCATTGCCCGGTCTCATTTAATTGGTCTGTAGAGTAAATTCAATACGTGTAAACTGTGACCTCTAAACTTCTGGTTTACTAGAATTTTGTTAGTCATCGTATGTATTTTTTACGTAACCTTAATTTCTGATGTAGTTGATGTAGAGCGACTGCCCTACGTCGCCCAAACTACAGTTAATTGGTAATCTACAAATGTGTTCCTGTAACCATGGTAACAGTATGGCTGGGTTAACAAAACATTGATTATTGGAAAACTTTAATGAGCGCAAGTTTATTACGAATTTAGAATGTCTCTCCATATTCTATGATAAAACAAAACGGCGAATATGTTGTATATATATAATAAGGGTTAGGACATTCTGTCAGTATATTAAGCTATGAAAGAAGAACCCAGCCGAATAAATACGATAAATTTCTTGTTTTCCGTGTATAACTTTTGATATCGTATTTTCTCGGTCATTATGGAAGGATCTCACCTCGCTCCTGGACAATCCAGAAGTAACCAAAGTACCTTAATCAAAATTTAGTAACGCTGAAACTGTTATTGTGATGTACGATTGTTGATTTAATTTTACTATTAAAACTGAAAAATTATACCTTTTTCCGCTACTGTGATTACTGCTATAGACAGCTGCGGCTTCCGGAGTAGCTTCCTTCTGAGATGCATATGCAGCTTTTAAATGCAAAGCTGTATTTTTGGTGTCTCGTTTTGTTTCGTGTCAGTACGTGACACGAGTCATTCGTTCAGTTGAGTCTTAAAAAAAACTTTGAATCGTATAAATGTCAGCCTCTAAAAGGTTTTGTTTTTCTTTTCAGCCTCGATGACAGTAGCTCAATAAGCAGTGGAATTAGTGACACTATTGCTGAATTCAGCACAGACGACAATATGACGGGGTCCTCGGTTAGCTCCGAGACAAACCTGTACTGCAGCGTGAAGAAGACACAGCGTGACGAGCTCCCGTCTTCATGTGCCCTGCCATCTAGTGTTTCTAAAGAAAAGTCGAATAGTAATCGGAAAGGAATGGGAGCTAACTCTAAAGGATCTTCATCGGGGAAATCAAGTAATGTCAAGAAAACGGACAGCTCAATGCAAACGGAATCCAGTGCTTTTCAGCAGATGTCATCAGCCGCTTGGAAAAAGTACTTGCAGCAACATCAACAGGAGCAGTCTTCTCAAAATGAAGAAGTCAGATCGGGTCATAACAGAACTCGGAACGTGGAGTTGGAATCTGGTAAAATTAGGGACAAGAAGTCCAGTTCTTCGGGGTCGTCCAACAAGAAGAATAGCGTCTGTAACGGATCTGTTGAAAGGTATAATGGTGGTGATGGACATAAATCCAGGCAGAAGGTTCTGATCGCTAGATCTGAAGAAAGTAAACAGCGAAACTTGTTAGACAACGAATACCCTGGTGAAAAGCTGTACCGAAATGGTAGAAGCTCTAGTCCCAAACCTTCCAAAACCGCTCCTGACATGCCATCTCAAGGTTCTCGGGACATGCGGAAGGTGCAGGGATCCCGGCCGTTGGCAGTTTCAGGACCTTCCATGGGCCATAGCATCATTAAAAGACCGACCAGCACGTCCAGTGTTTCATCCAGTGGCAGTGTAAAAAGTAGTGGTTCCAGAGGATATGGAAAAGGGAGCAATACCCTTGATAAAATGATGGAAGTAACTAATAGCAACGAGTGCGACAGTGTAGGTATAAATCGTGCCCTATTTCAGACGTCAAACATTCCAAGTAATGGAGCTCCTTCCTACCAGACAGAGTGCATGCCAAATAATGCTGGAAAAGGATCTGAACGGAAGACGAAAGTTAAAGTGTCCGCTAACACTCAAACCAATGCGCAAGACCTATACATGATTGGTTCTTCAGCACACTCTGACGGCGAGTATAATTCACTTGGACGCAGATCCTCCGCCAAGAATTATGCCCTTATGTCTCCAACCTTAAGTCTACGTGAACGTGTGTACGGCAGTAATCGACCCGTGTTAAGTGGTGCTTCGACACCCAGTTCTGATTACGTCATGCTCCCTGGACTCCATCTTTCTTCAAAAGAACGTTCTCAACATCTCCCAAGATTTTCTTCTCCACTAAAACATGGCGATGGAGATACTGGAAATTATGTCACTTTGGATCATCCGGCAGTGCTTTCTTCCCTGCAGTCATCATCACCTAGTCCTTACGCTTGGCTCCGTTACAGTGGGGGCTCCACTGCTGGGTCGGTTTGTTCTGCACCAGTTACACGAGGATTTAATAACGGAAGCCTTACTGAAGCTGATAGCATGGAATCACTGTCGTCCTTATCGTCCGGCGTCCATGGTCAGGTAAAAACTTACAATCTGTGTCGCCAAATTTTCAGTTGTTAGTTTTTTTTTCCCCCACAAGCTTTATTGTTAATTATCATTGTTTTTAATATATTAGCTAGTTAATTAAAATCTTTAATGTCACATTTAGAAATTAGAGCTAGTCCTAACTACATGCTTCAATGGTTCCTTTTCTAACTGACCAGACGCTTATTGGCATTTTCAGTACTCCTTAATTGCGTTAACTTAATATTAACTTAATACACTAAGTATGACGTTCTTCTAGATTTTCCTGATGAACTATAAGACTATCAGTTTATGTGTGTGTGTGTGTGTGTGTGTGTGTGTGTGTGT